TTTGTGAATAAGAGAGACGAGCAAATGTTTATTAGATAAGAGTTTCAGAGGATAACGAGGAGGGATCGGTCTGATCCGTAAACGAAATTCGGGGAAGGTTTCAGTTTTCGGATGGAACGTGCCCTCCATGGTGTTCCGTATTTACTTAAGCAATCGAGACACGATATACATATATCGCATCCTTTGTATCTCAACGAAATGTCCATTGATACGATTTTCAATTTAATATAATTCAACTCTGTGGAAAGTAATCGTTCGCTTACGTAAGGGTATCTCTAGTGTAATAATCAACGCGGTTTAGAGCAGTTACCAATTTAAGATGCTTTTCTCAAGAGTCGTTAGTTCCCCTCCACCCTTAAAACGGTAAAAGCAAAGGAAAATTAACGAAGAATTAACAAGCAGAGTGCCTCGTCTTTATCACTCAAAGACACTCGCTCACATTGTAAAGTCTCTGTTGTATCGTAAAACGATGGAATATATTTTGCCATCGTCGCGCTCTGTGATCCACAGAGAACACACATTTCCTGCGTAGAAAGAGTGAACAATATTTGCTCTACTTCTCGTACAATCGAGTCGATAACAGTCCAAAATAATAATGGGACTTAAGGCTAATCAACGTCTCATCCTTCGATTCTCATTCAATTCTTTTCTTTCTATTCCGAGTATCTAACGGATTAATCGGATCGATGATTCGTCTCAATTTGTTTGTTGTATGATGAATCGTTATTTCAGTAATCTTCCTTTCCTTTGAAAGATATACTCTTTGGATAATTGTAATGGATAATTTCGTTAAGCTCGAAGTGGAAACACCGGAGAACTTAAGGAAACGAAAGTTGAAATATGTCCGGTGCCGTCGATCATCGAGCAGCTAAATCCGTACTTCTTCTAAACAAGCGATCAACTGTGATCTTGAAACGATTTTGAATGAATAGAATCACCTGGAGTGTCAAGGAACAAGCCGTTGTTCTCCAAAGTGTCACAAGTTTTATCGAGACACGGAAGAACGACCACGGTAATCCAAATATGGGGAAGTGTTTGGATTACTTGTCGTTCCCGTGGGACCACACGTTGCTCCAACAAACATCGATTTCTCCTGTCGAAGCGAGCTCACTGTGACGACACCAAGTACTTATGTAAGTGAATCATTTTATCAAGTAAATCATCGTACAAATGTTCAGCCAGCGACCACTTTTGATAATCTTTCGTGGACAATTCGATCGACGAGACGCTGTTCTCTCCCGCGTTCGTCGCGTTCAATAGAAACTAAACAGGACACATCCGACAAACCGGAAGACACAGCATGAAACACAACAAGAAACCGACAATTCTCGCCGACAACGATGGAAATCGTCCCGAAATCAAAAAATTAGACAATATCTTTGTCGATGTTGAGTTTGAGACAGAGATGTTGATCGCAGATGAAGAGATCGAGATGAAAGATCGTCGATCTGCGAGGAAACTATCTTCGTCAGTGCTTTGTCGAAATACATATACACGCATATATATATATATATATATATATATATATATATAAAATATATTATATATATGTAATTATGGATATATACGTCGTCATTAGAAAGCGATCTTTCAGCTACGACTTTTGCGATTTTGTGAAAGTTTCTCGTTACACAGCCTACGTAACCCTTTCGTATCTAGCACAATTTGTCTGATTGTATTATAAACGATCGTTCAATGAGTATCGTTAAGGTCGAATGTTCGTTTCTTCTAAACACTCTAGTGAATATTACTCTAACGAATTAATGTAATCACCAACATCGCCTGCTTTTTAAAGGGACTACGTAGCGTATTCGCACGTTTGAGCTTTTGTAGAATTATACGTATACTTAAGGATTAAGCTTAAAAAAAAAAAGTTTCGTCTGATCGCATTTTGTGCTTAAATTCAATGATCCGTCTTAAATTCAATGTTCGACTATTACGATCGTTGGACGGTTCGCGATGAAGAAATGTTGTGATTCGATTTTAGGATAAATAACGTAAAAAAGAAAGAAAGAGAAAGATTATTACATATACTCGTCTCGAAATATTTATATATTATAATATATACGACACAATGTATTCGTAAAACGTAGCTCTTGCTTCTCAATTTAAAAAAAAAAAAAAAAAAAAAGAAAAGAAAAGAAAAAAAATGAAGTCGCGTAAGAGTAAGAATTAAATATATGATCTTAGTGTTAAGTTATAAAACGCTAAGAGATATTTAAAGCAAAGGATTTCTAGACAGTAAATTGGAATCTTACAAAGACGTAACTTTTCAGAGATTATAATGTAATATCCCTCGAGGCAAATGTTAGATGTAACTCGTGCGAGGAACTTTCGATTAGCGATTACTATATTATAGAATTTCCTAGCTATTGCGCGTGGATGGGTGCGGGTAAAACGAGTATGCGAGTCTCTCATTTTTCAATTTTCAATATTTTATAATGTCTCTGGTATGTAACGAAAGTGGATATTGTTAAATTTTTGGCAATATACTACCCACACTATTTTATTAGCGGCTTAGCCTACCTTGTAATCTTTATATTATACATTTCATATTATATAGCTTATAACAGATAAATTAATAATCTATAACAACTATTGTATTTGAAACTTAATTATATTCTGACTCTTCGAATTCGTTTTAATAAAATCTTAATACACTGTACAAACTGTTTATTCGTACTTCTTTTTAAATAGCAGTGAAAATTTTTCTTCTTTTATACAATGCCCAAAAATTCATTTAATACAACTTTCTGGATATAGAATAACTTCAAACGTACTTTTAAAATTATTCAATTATTTACAAGATCACAAATACTGTATAACAATTAAATCAGTTTCATTTATAAGAATTTTTGGCCCTCCAATCGAGAAATTCATCGAATTCGGCTTCGTCACTGCTGGAAATATCTTCGTCTGCGTTTTTTTGTTTTCTATCAGTAGCCTGTACTTGTTCTTTACGCTTTACAAGATCCATTACCCTATCGAAATAATATTTTGTTTAATCATTATAATCTGTACTAAATTAATGAAATTAATTGTCTTCTGAATTACCTAGACCAGTGCCTTATTTGTTCCTCTATCTCATCTAATTGCCTTTCTGTTGTTGCTTCTTCTTGATCGTCTGCAATGATTTGCGCAGACTGTGCCGTTTCCTCTTTTATTTCTTTTTGAAACTTTTCCCATTCCTCTTCAATAGGATTTTTATATTCAACGTTACGAACCTAAAAATTCCCATGAAAATTATACAATTTGACTTTGCAGAAGATTCTGATACAATGGCCTTACTTTAGCGTCTAAGACTGGATCATCAAAAAATCCTTCTGGAAGAGGTGGTTGATTTGTATCTTTGTTTCTATCTTTCTCTTTTTCCTCCTCTACTTCTACATTTTTCAGATCTTTTTCATGTACAGGTTCTTTATCATTCTCTGACCCCTGTGTTATCATAGATGTACTTGACGAGACTGTGCCATTGACTTGTTTAGAAGGATTATCAAAAAAGTCAGCTGGTAAATTTGATGAAACTTGCACTGACTGTGTTGTGGAATTTTTTAATATACTCTTTATTTTTTTATTTGTTGATGATTCTTGCGACGGAGACATAGGCCTTTTAAATGCTTGAACTTTCGTAGCATCTGTTTCTAGTTTTGTCTTTTTTGCCAAGGCAATATTTTCTTTATGAGTCTTTGAATTTAAATGCACTGGCCAAACTGTTTCGCTGCGTATAATGGTTTTGCATAAAACACACATTAGCTGTCCCGCATCTGTATATGTGTTTACTTTGGTTAAGGATTTTTCAAAAATATTAAAAAAAAATTTTCTTTCATATACTATACAACTTTCTTCTTCTATTACTATTAAGCATTAACAAAAGTTAGGAATAACGAAACATTATTATATAGAAAAAAAAAAATTAAAATAATACAATGCAAAACAAACAATATAAGAGAAACTTAACCTCAAAATATGTCAAATCGTAGTAAAAAGGATATTTTGCTAGCGGCGATTCAATTTTTTTGACAGTTCCTATCTTCTTTTTGTGTTCAGTCATAGCTTTGCGTAAATCGTCTTGTGTCAATTTCCTTTTAAGCGACATTTTCAGGAATAAATTATATTCTTAAAGAACAAATGCAACTCTTAACGTTTAGGTTATGTTTTGTATGCTTTGTCTCGGACAACTGTAATTGTAGTTCCTCTTTTATCGAATTTCAAAAGTAACATCAGCTGACACAATCAAAATAATTTGTAAGTTGAATCTAAAATTATGTGTATATATTTATAGGCTTTTCACATGTTAGCGTTAATTAAAACAATCTCTTATTAAATATAGTAAAACATCGTTTATCCGAAAACATATGGGAAGACAAACCGTTCGGATAAACAACGAGTAACAAGTATATATCATTCATTAATAATTTCATTAAATTCAAGCTGTGCAAATATAAATTAGCAAATTGTTTCTTTACTATTACTATGTTACTATCTTTTCACTTTAGTCATAATTCATATACATACATATTTTTAGTTTTTTTCACAGACCTCTATCTGTCTACATTTAAAATAAGAGATGGAAATTGACAAAAAATCGTGGTCAAATATGATCGTTATGTGTAATATTAATTAAGTTCTTTTTATTGTCATTATAATCATTAATTTCACATTAATCTCGACAATTCTTTTATATTTAATTATGAGACAGGAAGTGGAGAATCGCGAATCATAATATAACGAATCAAATATGGAGGATAATAATTCGTTGTTGCGTGTCAATCACGATCCGATCACAGTGGTTGGATCTTGCAAATTATGTTCCAGAGAATTGACTAACGCGGAATTGTTATCAATAATAATCAAATGTGTCAATTTTGCAGCGGTAAAACACAAGGATCAGAGAAGGAAAGACGAACAAGAAACACCATATATAAATCATCCCATAGGTTTGTAAATTTTTAAACTGACCAAGGAAAACAGAATTACTATGATTTTAAATGATCATGTGACGTTGCCAACATATTTTTTAGGCGTAGCAAATATTTTGATTCAAGAGGGCAATATTCATGATCCTGTTGTAATTATAGCAGCTCTTTTACATGATATTGTAGAAGATACTAATACTACATTTGAAGAGATAGAAAACCAATTTGGTACAGAGGTTTGTAATATTGTTAAAGAAGTAACTGATGATAAAAGCTTACCAAAAGCGGAACGTAAAAGATTACAAATACAGAATGCTTCAAAGAAAAGTCATAAAGCTAAATTAATCAACTTGGCAGATAAATTATATAATTTAAGAGATCTACAGAGAGCTATACCAGTTGGTTGGTCACAAGATAGAGTAAAAGAATACTTTAAGGTAATAAAAAAATGATGTATGTTAATGAAACAAATAAGCAAACTTGTAAAAATTAATTACAGTGGTCCAAAGCTGTGATTGATGGATGTCGTGGAACTAATTTTAGTCTAGAAAGAGAATTAGATGTAATATTCGCAGACAGAATAGCTCAAGATAGAGAAAATTGTACATGCAAAAGATCACTGATACCATGATGTTAATGTTCTATTGAAATAATAATTTTAAAATTATGCTGCAAAAAAAAAAGAAAAAATAAAAGTATATTCGATGCAGTGAATGGTAAATAATTCTATTTAGAAATAACGAATGTTCTTAAATTAAATATTTCTTTTACTAATATTATTTTACAAATTTTATAAAATATATAAAAAACTGATAGATCATATATATCATTTATATCTTATACATACATACAAATCAGTTTTAACCGGGTAATGTTTCCAAATTATATTTTGATTTTTTAATCTTTATGATTAGTAACCATAGTTTTCAAAAAACCGTATCATAAATGCTGCCAATACCTCTACCTCATCTACAGAAACAGCGTTATACAGCGACACTCGAATTCCACCTATTGATCTGTAATTAAATATTACGTTCAATTTAGAAGACAGTAAGCAATAATGCGAAATGTAATTTTAGTTTTTAGATATACTGACCTGTGACCTTTCAACTGAAGCAATCCGCGTGCAGCCGCGCTAGATATGAATTCTTTTTCAAGTTCTTCATTGTTTGTGGCTATTCTGAATGGCACATTCATTCTACTCCTCGCGTCCGGGCTAACTGGACATGAATAAAAACCGTTTGATTTTTTTATTACATCATATATCTTATAACTTTTTGTAATTGCCAATTTCTCCATTTCCTCAACACCACCGCGATCTTTGATCCATTTAAAAACTAGTCCAACTACGTATATTCTGAAAATCAAATATTTTTAGAGACATTTAGAGAGCCACACATAACTTTACAAAATAGATCAAAATAGAATTATTGACAACAAAAATTTAATACATTTTGCTTTCTACATAGAATGTAGAATTATTTTATTGTTAAGTTCTTTATAGAAATACTTACTGAAATACTGGTGGTGTATTGTATATAGAGTTACTTGCTGCCATAACAGTGAAATCTAATATTGCTGGACAAGTTTCCATAGCATGACCAAGGATGTCGTCTCTCACTATCACGAGAGTTATGCCAGCTGGACCTATGTTTTTTTGAGCGCCAGCAAATATTACTGCAAACTGAATAACATTATAATGATTAATTAATTGATGTTATGATAATTAATCTATTTATCGTTAAGCGTTACGTACTTTCGAAATATCGAGACGTCTTGTGAGTATATTGGACGACATATCAGCGACTAAGGGTACTCCATTAGTTTCAGGAATATAATTAAACTCAACTCCTTAAATAATGAAGTATTTTTTCAATTGTTCACGATGAGATTATTGTTTATTGTATTATTATTTATTCTCTGTATTATTATTTAATTACCGTGAATTGTCTCGTTTGCGCAATAGTAAACGTAAGATGCATTGGGATTTAAGTTCCAAGAAGATGGATCAGGAATTTCCATGTATTTTGTGGTTTTTGGTAGAACAAAATTCACTTTGCCATACTTGGTTGCTTCTTCTGCTGCTTTGGCTGACCATGTGCCTTGAAGATGGAATTTACATTAAAGTATAAGAAATATTTTTATCTTTGGATAGTGTTAATTATATTTTCTTGTGGTCTCAGATGCTTGTATATTCCATAATATAGAACAATATTTAGGAATTTACCAGTTACTATGTAGTCTGCGGTTCCAGTTTTCATCAAGTTTAAAGGAACAGCGGCGAAAAGCCCTGTTCCACCTCCTTGCATGAATAGAATTTTATAATTGTCGGGTATATATCTGTAAAATTTAAATAATTCATTTTCTCTATAATATTTCCTAATATTACTTGAGACAAAATTTATATTTTCTCTATAATATTTCCTAATATTACTTATTGACAAAATCAATTATATTATTAAAAAAAAAATTAATTTTTTATATTTTAATAATAACTTACAGTATTTCTCGCAACGTTTCTTGGGCATTGTCAACAATATTTTTGAACTCGGGTGATCTGTGACTCAATTCCAAGATACTTACTTGAGTATTACTATATTCGAGCAGTTCTTTTTGTACTTGTCTCAATACCTGTACATATAATATAATAAAATTATCAAATTATTTATGATGTATACTGATGTATCACACTAGTAATCTTAATCGAAAAAAATATTTTGACAAAAAATATCTTTTAAGTAAGTTAATATCTATTTAATGTTTTTATTTAAAGAAATAAATAAAACATAAAACAATAGGCTTGATTAAAAAATGTAATAATTTGAATATTACCTCTTCCGGAAGTTTGCCTGGTCCCGCACCAAAATTGAGCGCTTTGTAGTTCGAAATATTGATCTGACTATACATTATGAGATTTGTTATCTTACTCGAAGGCTAGTGTAGAAAGACTGGATTGGATTCGATATAGAAAGGGATTTTAACTCTCCGAAGTCTCGTTATCTTATATAAACACTCTGATTTATCTTACACAATTACCTCTTTTTATATATGCTGAAAATTGTTGATTCCACAACACTATAAACAATCATAGATCGTTATAAATCAGTTTACTTTTTTTTTATTGTATCACTTTCTTGTACTTTCTCTTGAAATTTTTTTGTTTTTTTTTGCAATTACTTTATGCAACTAACCGCTCTGAATTCTTAAAACTTACTCGGATAAATGTAAATGTAATAAGTCGCGTGATCAATACCGATCGTTGCAGGTATTTGATGTATTATTTCATACGTTGCTTGAGGACCTGTTCAACAGGTCTTTATGAGCAAGAAATGTGGATTGGTCAGTCTTAATGATATGGTTACTGAAATTCGCTTCGTCAAACGAAGCCGCGAAAATTGAACGATTTGTTGAAATTAATGCTGCAGAATTGATCATTACTTTGTAATAATGTCATGAAGGGATCTTAATAACATTAACAATTTTTAGCGTCTTTCGAATCTGTATATGTTTTTCTTATGTAACAATATAAAGTGAAACTAGAGGAAAATTAGAGTAAAACTAATATAAAAATTATTCCTCGCATAAATGTATTTCGTGCTCTTTCAAGATTACATTTCTCTGATAAATCCACGGGATACCCCCAGCAATGTTTTATCTTCTCATTATGAAAATGACCTATAAGACTGACCTTTGACATCTGATGTATTTGCTGGATAAATCTTGATTTTATCGTTATTAATTCAATTATATAGTGTTAAGTAAAATCATTCAGCAGCGTTCTTTTATCCCTACAGTTTTGGTACAAATATCTTTTGTAATGATGAAACAGATTTGCAAAAATGAAGTAGATGTCCTATGATAAAGTTTCTAATAAACATGTGTATTTAATTCATATATTCTGTGTTAATATGCAATAGTAAAGTATCTTTTTGCATTATTTTAATTATTTCTTAAAGTATTTAATGCAACTGAATTAGAAAAATATGTATCATAAAATGACCTTGATATATTAACATATGCATAACACTACAGTTGGCTACATATTTCAGCGTTATATTATAAAATTATATTTTACCTGAAATTGTATAAAGAATCTTTTGTGTTATATTTAATCAAAATAATTTGTAACTCCATCAGTTATTTGCAGATGTGATGAAAGGTGTGATAAGTTATATGTAGACATGAAAAGATCAAATATCAAAATAATTCAATTGTCAAAATATACTAAATGCTGAAATACTAAAACATGGATTCAATTAAAATGTTTATGGATATTTTTGAAAGAGCTGTGGAAGAAAGAAATAGCAATAATTTGAAGGAAATTTTAAAAGATAGAAGATATTTTCAAAATATAGCGAAAGATGATTGTGGTATGTAGTAATAAATGTATATATCATATTATAATATTACAATAAGATATTGCATTTATTTTGTAAAGTATAACTATATTTTATAACTATGATAAAAAGAGTGCTTAATCAAACACTAATATTTAATATTTTATATTGTAATTTTTACTTTTAGAATTAATGCTCTCTATAGTATTTGATAAAAATAAAGGATTGCTTTCTTTTCTTAATAACGAACTTAACAGAGTGAAACCTCAAAAAGGTTTTGATTTGGCAATTGTAGAAACATTTCATCTTCTTGAGTTTATCATAGAACAATTCTCTGATACATTCATACCATACATGATTGAAACAAAGGTATTGTATACATGTTATTTCATTAACATATCTCTTTTACAAAATATATTAAAGTTTTGTTTGTTTGTAGAATGTATGCCAGCAGGCACTTGTAACAAAATGTTCAGCATTTATTCAGAAAGCTGCTTGTAGTACATTTAATAAATTGATAGCAAGTTTTGACAATTATGAAATTGTATCAGATGAAACTGTAAAAAAATTTATATCTTTATTTCGTTTTAGTATTAAAGGTAGAGTTAGAACAAATTTAACAAAATATAAATAATTTAAGATTCTAAATATAAATAATTTAAGATTCTAAATATAATGATTTTAATTATTCACAGAAAGAAGTTTATTACTTTCTGTGCTTGGGACAATTGCAAAACATTGTCCAGAAGTTTTAACAACAGAACAATATCACATAATTTTCCAACAGCTAAGGAATGATTTTATCATTCAGGTATATTTTATATTTTATTGTATAATATTTATATTTTATCGTTTAATACTTTTAAAAACCAAAGTTTTATTTTTATATTTAAAATTTTAGTACAATTCACAAAATAGATCCCACTCAATTGATGTATTTCAACTATATTTCGATGCCTTTTCAAATATATTGTCAAAACTTCCAGAAAAAATGGAAGAAAAATATTATAAGGAATTGTATATATGGGTGAAAGAATTAAGTGATCCAAAAAAATACGCAGTTAAAAAAGTTTCAATGAGATCAGCAATTAATTTATTGTCCAAACATATAGATTTGTTTAGCAATTTTATTTATTGTGATTATAAATATTGGTATGATTTATTGATAAATTTAGCTCAAGACAAAAATGTACAATGCAGTGAGTGTGGACAATATGCTTTAAGAGGTTTTTACAGAATAATTGGGAAGATTTTAAAGAACAAATCTTCTGAGGCTGATAAAGCAATATTCTTGGTAATTGTTTATAGAATTGTAAACTAGCCAATATTAACATGTAATAAAATTAACGTATAATATAACATTTGTTACGTTTTAGCATTTCAAAAATCATTTTGAGGAACAATTAAAAAATAGCCATCATGTAAATTCAAATATACTGCGTTTTATCATATATGGATTTAGTCAAATGGCTGCACCATGTAAAATATATTTTACTGATAATGATGTGAAAAATATGTTTTCTTTGATCGCTAATTGTGCTATGTCACTCTGTTCAAGGTATCAACCATACATTTATTTATTTCCGAAATATTTCATAATAAATATAAATTTATTAATGTTCTTAATTTTACAGTGGTGATTTAGAAAAAGTACAGTTGGAAAGTATTTGCAATTACCAAGAAGCTCTTTTAGAAATAATATTGCATACATCGGATCTTTCAATCGATCAAATTAATATAATTACGAAGCTTAGTATTCTTTTAATCAAAAGATTTCCTGATTTTCCTATCACTAAACAGAATTTTGCTGTATTTTTATTAATAAATACAGTTATTAATATTAAGACAATCAATAGAAATCTTTTAGATGAATTTCTTTATAATTTAAGTAAGTACATGTTTTACAAATATTTCCAAATAGAATCTAATATTCTGATATTTTATACATAATTGTTTAAATATTTAGTTTATAACGGAATAGTGTGGACCTGTTCGCATACCTTATTCGTTGATGCTGAATTACAACGCGGATTGAATAATCTTCAGGAGCGACCACTGTGCTATAAAAATTATTTGCCTTTGTGGTTGCAACTTTTAAATCAAGACAAATATAAAAGAGATTTCATACATAGCACAGAAACTGTACAATATGTAGTTGATTCAACTATACACGTGGGAATCGCATTGATTGACAAATTGAATCTGAATATAAAAACGAAAGAAGATAACATATTTTCAGATGCAGCCTTCTCTCAAATTGCTGAGAATGAGGCAGATTTTCGAACGTTTGTCAATATTACAGATTTATATGTTGATATAATTAATAGTTTGGATACCTCTTTATTTATAAATACAATGCACAGATTTTTATTGAAAGTTATCAGTAAATCTCACAAGCATCATTTAGTATCAGGATTTTATAAATTAATCCATGCAGTATCTAAACATATTTGTGATTCAAGTATTGATGAAATTGAAACAGAAACATTAGAAATGTTGAACAAGTATATAATGAACGTATTGAATCTGATTCCTACGTTTTCTAACGAATTGTTAACTACATGCATACACTTAATTTTAGATGTACCAATGCTGTATGTAGAAAAAATACTGAACAGTGCAGTTCAAACATTTAAAATTGCCTTTACTATTGGTATAAGTGATTTTGAACTAGCTTGTAAAGCTTTAAGTACGTTAGAAAAATGGACGAATTATTTCGATAACCAAGTCACAACTGGATTTTTACAAGAAGTAATACCATTTTTGGAACCATATTTACACAGCGAAGAAAGCACTGTAGAACTTCTACAAGACATCATAAAAATGGAGCGAAAAGTTATTAAACAAATAGTATTAAGAGATGATGAGAATACTTTGGAAAGATTCCAGATGAGAGTTTTGTTGTTTATTGCTTCGCTTGATACAAATATAATACTGAATTTCATATATAAAAGATCTATGGACACAGGAGCTACTTGGGACAAGAAAGACTTACTCGAATACTCGTTGACTTTCTCTGATATAAAAGTAGATTTTCATTTTGATAAAATTTTACCAAGAATAATCTTATTGGCTCAAAATTCTGGAGACAGACGGACAAAGGTACTTGCTTGTGAAGTGCTTCATTCGATAGTAGCGTATGTTCTTGGCAAAACGTCACAACAATTAACATCTAATCCAGATCGATTCGTTTCTCTCTATGTAATATTGTGTCCAGCTTTATTGAATTTGGGCTGCGATTACGAAGAAGCAACGAGGAAAATTTTTTATCCATTAATGCTACAGTTAACTCATTGGTTAAGCTCGAAATTCATGCTCAAATCTCCAGCTACTATACATTTTCTCGACTCATTGTTCGAAGGCCTTTGCAATGAAGCAAATTCGTCTCTTAGAGAATTTTCTGGCATTTGCTTAGCCGAATTTACTAAATGGTCTATAAAACAGTCTAATAATGATACAATAAGTCAGTCGAATATTGATGAAGTCATATATAAAATGACAAATTTTGCCCTTCACCCTTCTGTCTCTAAACGAATAGCAGGCGCAACAGCTTTTAATCATCTTTATACTATTTTGCGCGAAGATGAGAAAACTGTGTCCATATATTGGTTGGAAATTTTATACAGTTTCGTCAGAAGTTTGAATGGTTGTAATGATCCATCAATCATTAATGCTCTCGGTCACATTGAGAGAGTCTTGATAGCGAAGAAAAATCTGTTAAATGCAAACTATCACAATCGTAGGAAACCTTATGAATTTGAAGGTTCAACTTTGATTGATGCTGTGAATTGGTTACTCACACAATGTGGTTGCTTAGATCAATGTTGTCGGATAAAATGTATGGAACTAGTTGTAAAATTTTCTGAACATGTAGCAAATTGTGACTCAATTAAATCAGTAATAAATAATTACATTGATACACACGGAATTGAAATGTTTAATCGGATAATCTTAGATGAATTGTCAAAAATAGAAATACTATCTGTCAATAGTATACTACCTTTACTAAGGAGCTTGGATTGTTACATTTGGTTAATAAAAGGCGATTTATTGGACATACAATGTCTACTTGGCAATTTAAATTCACAAAAAGAAGTAATTTTCAATTGTGCTAGAAATTTTATTCATGTGATAAATAGGATTAAAATAGAAAATAAGGAAGATGATATGGTAATATTATCAAAAGAGATTGAACATCTACAAACGTTACAATGTAAAACAATATTGAGTATATTTGATTTCATACAAATTTTATTGAATATAGATGTGAGTAAATTATTGTTTATCATTAAAGAATTTTATATTCGAATTATAATATTTGATTTTTTAATTTTAGGATAATTTAATTCCCGATTTCTTTTTTAATAAAGACTTCTTCGAATTAATTGCAAAATGTATAATGTGTCCGCAATTAATAGGATTTGATTTTAAGAATATTGATATTACTGAAGAAATTGTGGGAAATTTGTTACAATCTATAATGTGTAAAAATGTATACCATCTAATTAAATATGAACTATCGATATATGTGAAGAAGCATATAAATGATTCTGTTGCATTAGATAACATTATTTCTGGTGAAAAGAATTTTAGTGAACTTAAACAATATATTCGTGGTTTAAGTTTTTTGGATCATCATAATATTCTTAATCAATTAGATAATGTATATAATATACATAATGTTGTTTTTTAGTATTTTATATTATTTATAATTATTGATATTGTTTTGTAGATAAAGGAATTAATCAATCGAGAAGATAAAATTACACGTATTTTTAAGGCTTTAATAAGAGAATCACTCGGAGAACTTATTTATATAAGTATAAAGCCATCAGCAAAAGATTATCTGAAAATTTTAATGGAATTTTTACTTATACATTATGAGGTATATTATTTAAATATATAAACATATTAAATAAATATTACATACTAAATATTTAAATAATTTATGAAATTATGCTTGCAGTCATCAATTACAAGAATGTTAATTGAATTCATTGAAGATGATACAATGCTCGGATCAGATGACAGAAAAATTAAACATGGTGTACATTTTTTGAATACATTTAAATGCGAAATATTTAAATACATGTTAAAGGATACAGAAAAAACTATGGAAATATTTGATGATTTATTGCAACGAGATCCATCTACTTTTTTAATGATAATGGAACAATTGTTCTTATTTATGCAACGCTATAAAAAGAAATTCCATGATCGTGCAGAAATATTAGTAAATACAGTTATTAAAAAATTCACAGTATTTGAAAGGGCTGTAAGTAATTTTGAGGACAGAAGGCAAAAATTAGTAAATATTTTTGGAATTGCAGTTCATTTGAAAGATAGACCAATAGAAGTGTCATCTACAAATAAAGATTTTTATATATGGATTCTTAATCAGCTAACGGAGAATTCAGACATAGAATATAAAGTATATATCCTTCATAATTTTCTCATATGTCTAACTGATATGACTGATACTAAACCAGAATTGCTTGCTATTTTACATAGTTTGAAGAATAATAGACTCGATGTGTGCTCAATTGATTTTTCTCAGAAAAATGTGAAAGCTTTAAAAATTACCAATTGTTTTCAGAAATTAGTAACGTTGTTACCAATTACTAAGTCGGTAGTAGTATTCGAAACTATTATTTTATTTGCAAGTGGTATTGCTGAATATCTGTGTAATAAAACAACTAATGAATATTTACAAAAATACTTTGATTCAATTACTACCGATTATGCTGTGAAATCTATACAATCAGCGTATAAGTTATTTATGAACTTAAATACACTCATAAATGAAAGATTTGATGTATTGTATAAATTCCTTTTACCATTATTTGAATTTTGCAAGACCACTGAAATAAATCAATTCTTTGAAATAAATATCAAAGAAATATATACTATGATTCAACAAAGTTTGATTGGCGTCACTTCACTAGATATGAAACAGCTTATGGTATCAAAGATAGGATGTTATGATCTTATTGCGATTATGTTTGCAAAATTACATATAAAAGACATAGATAGTACCGAGAGTATAATTACTCAAAATGCTATTGACAATATAGTTACTGGAAGAGAACTTATACAACATTTATACAGTAACGTATTAAATATACGCAGGTTAAAGATTTCTGAACCTGAACTTAAAGAAACAGCGAGATTGTTACATTGTTCTGCATATAATTGTTCCATAGCCATTGTATCTAATTTGAAAAAGGACGAAGACGCTTATGCAAGTGTTTTTGCTGAGAATAGGGAAAAACAACAGTTAATTTGGGAGAATATTTTAGATTGCCAAAAGCAATATAATTTTCAACAGACAGTTACTGAGTATCCAAAGTATCGTAAAAGATTGATTAATATTAGAAAAAGTATAAAGCAAAGACAAGCTTCTAATCATTACTCGTATATTTATAGTTACGATTTATCTTCCTGTACTTTAACCGAAGATATAAATGCATATGATTTTAATGAAACTATAATACGAACTAAACCTGATAGTAGTGAAAAAAAAGAAAGCATGAGTTTAACATTTGAAGCTGACGAACTAAATAATCATGAATGTATGGCTTCTATTTGTGGAGTTTTGAGTCATATGATAGAAGAAGAAATATCTATACCACCTACTAATGACAGTATTATAATACCAAAGTGGCTAAAATACTTTTATAGTTCCATTATAAAAACAAATTACGATAATGTCAGATTATTTATGTTGAAAGTTGTTTTAAATATGTCAACTGTGTTTCAACCTTATGCAAAATTTCTTCTTCAGCCGATAATGCACACAACATATTCATATTTGAAAAGAAATCAATTGAATTATATCATTGTTGATACTTTAGAAATGTTAATAGATTGGCAAACTTCTCTTAAAAAATTAAATGAATCGACACTTGATCAGAATAAAAATGCAATTCAACAACTATGGGAAATACTAATTCAAAAGGTGATAATTGTGAGATCCAATGAGATTTCCAAATCTATTTATAAGTACAACATGAACATGATAAAAACTATGCTTGAAGTATGGCATTCTTATTTGAAACTACCTAAAAATTTAAGCGATAAAATGAAAACTGCACCGCGAGGTGCAATATATTTAATATTAATTTGTTTCGTTAATGGTATGGGATCAGACATTATTCAAAGAAATGATATCTTAGAATTTCTAGAGAAATCTCTGGAGAACTGGAAAGACGATGAAGAAACAATTTTACAATGTTGTGAATGTTATGGTTTAATCTTAAAATCTTTGGACGACCATGACAAGAAGTGCGCTATAATTGATAAAATTCGAAGTATATTGAGACAGATGCAGACAATATACGAGATCAGACAGATAAAGTGCATTCGAGCATTATGTAAAAATTATCCGGCTGCGGCAATGACTTATTTTCAATTTGTTACAGCAAATATATTTAGAGTAGATGTTCAAGGCATGTCAAATTGTTTAGAAATATTTCTACTCTGCATACCGAACCTCAGCACGGATCAAATACTGGACGAATTACGTTACATGAAGTTCCATGATTTCTTAACAAATAAAGTTCTGCTTTGTGAGAAAACAGCATTAAAAATCATCGATTCTTTAGTTCATGTCCTACCTCCTACAAGTGTATGGACATATGTAACATTAGTGCCACCTTATTCAAAGCATAATCTTTCTGAATACAGAGAAATCGCTTATGGTATATTTATAAATATTTATAAAAAATATGCAGAACAGAATTCTGGAAATAATGAGATAGAGAACTTGATGCAGATCAGCAAAGAAATATTACTTAATGGTATATTAGATCCTACTGAAATATTACAAGAAATGATACTAAATTTTTGGACACAGAATGCAAAATTAACAAACACCTGCAAAGAAAGATTACTCGAAATTTTAAATATATACACTTCCAATACTGGTAAAAATTTTTTACCGTTTATATTATTATTGATCATTGATCTTATAAAGAAATCAAATGATTACACACAGACAATGTTTGAACCTTTACATGGTTGCAGTTATAGAGACTATCAAATAGCTCTCTTATGGAGAACGAAAAATTTGGAATCAAAGGCCCCGCTTTTTGCTCCATCCTTGGCTAATCAAATGAACCAAATGTTCACTCAAATGAATACTACATCGCCGGATATGTCTCTTAACTTTACATATACAAAATCCAATTATGACTCTAATGCTGAATTAATGCTTCAAACGACTCAAGAACTTGATTTTGAGCCCACTTATAACGATACATCTCTTGCATCACTCAGTAATCTGGAACAAGATAACACATTTAAAGTACCAAAAGTACCACAACCTGCTCACAATAAAAGGTCAAAGCGATTTTTAAGTAGTTCAAGTGATATTTCTGCGAATATACGGCAAAAAGAGATTAAAAGAAATATACGGCACATGGAAATGATAAAAGAGGAAAGCGCTCGGCAAAGAAGCAGTGTAAAATTATACAGAAAGTATAGAATTGGTGATTTTCCAGATATTGAGATATCACATGCTACATTGCTCGAACCATTACAACAGTTAGCAAAGAACGATCAATTAATCTGTAAAGATTTGATAGTTCATATCGTTTGCTCATTAATTGAAAAATGTGGACAGAATGGTTTTACAGAAGAGCTTGCATCTAGTATGAAACAGATTATGGAAAATGAAAAAAATAGCAATTCTACTATCACTGCAATTTTAGAGATATTACTGAATGCTTCTATAACAGACTGTTCACCAGAAGTTATTGCAAAAGCTGCGAAATCGAATAGTTTGAACTTCCTTGGATCACTCGTTTTAGAGGAAAATTTGATTTACGGGACAAGAAATATTTCTGAACCACCTCAAAAGAAGGTGCGAAACGAAATTGCGGCCGAATGGTTGCATTTGTCGAATCTTTATAAATCTATGAATGATGTTGATGTAGTTCTTAGCATTTTTCAAAATCACATCACAAATGAAGATATGCAGGTATGTATTTTTCTTATATTGAATAATGAGATTGATGACAATTCCTTCAAAATTTTAGATTGCATCGTTTTCCCAAGCATCTAACAAATGGGAAAGAGCAAAGGCAGCATACAAGAAAGCATATGAAACAGAATCAGACTTAGTGAAGGAACATTGTCTTCAAGGTTTGTTCGAATGTTTAAGTAATTTATGCAGTTGGGACGAAATTGATACGCACATAAAGAACAAACTTGATAGAAATTTAGACAATATTTGGAATAATCCATGGAAAGATTGGATGTTCCCTTGGGCATTTACAGTGCATATCCGTAGACTGATAAGTGAAGACGACAGTGAGGAATTCCAGAATGATTTGAAAATTATGGAATGTTGGTTGAAGGATGCGGAAAAGACAAGACATATGAAACGATTCTTTGGGGAGGAATGTTCAATGTTCTTTTTGCACAATCAACTAGAGGTTGCTCGTGAATTTTTACTAAATTCATTGGATGAGATAAGAGAACAGTGGATCAGGCTTCATCCGCTTTCTACTCAATTAAGAATTTGTAAATTACAGAAGTTGCGAATCGTTAACGATGTAAACAAGTTTATAAAGACTTTGAAAACAGTAGAATCATCGCGCGATTTAAACGAGATATTGAACTTTTGGAATAAGAGTATACCTTCAGCACTAGATGATGTATTTTCTTGGGATAAATTAATGTCTTATAGAACATATTTCATTAATAAATTACGTAATGACAAGCTGGAGGAATGGACTGAGAATGATATGGACAGTAATCCTGATGAAAACGAAGATTCAATTGCCTATAGATTGCGCGCGATTACTTTTGATATGAGATTGAAAATGGTCGAAGCATCGATAAATCAGAAGAACAAATACATAGCAAAATATTATATGCAACAGGTAGAAAAAAGTATCAAATCTTACCCGCCGATCTTTTTCAATGAATTTTTATTATCGTGTGGGAAGTTAAGATATCTGATGGGAGATATTGAAACGAACGTTCAGAAGAAACTATCCCATTATACTCATTCTTGGGAGCATTGCCACGATCTTTTACAACAAAATCATATTGCTGATACTACGAATGTTAATAGTCGAAAACAAATCAGCATGATAGCATCAAGAATTGCACAATTTAGCGAAGAAAATGAAATGTTCGCAGAATTATTAAGAGAAAATACTACAATTCTGAAAGAAATAAATGCTGAAAATAACGATTTATCCAATATTAAAAATACACTAGAAACTTACAGTTTTAATCAGTTGAAAACATGCTGTGATATGACAACTAAGAATATTAAAGAAAGCTATTTTAGTCTTGCAAAGTACTGCTATGATAAATTATCGCATGATTCCAATGACATTCAATTAAGTAAAGAATTTATTCATTCCATATTGAAAGCCATGAGTTATGGATCTCTCGAGGCAGCCCATTATTTCCCCTGCCTGTTAAAACCTGAATATTTCTACAGTCAAGAAACAAAGGATATCTTTATGAAAGAGATTGAAAGTATTCAAACTTGGTTATTCCTCTCTTGGCAGGCCCAATTATTTTCTCACTTAGGAACGTCAATTGCTCCTTTAATTATACCAATCCTTAAACGAATTGTTGAAAAATATCCTAACGCAGTTATTTATACATTTCGTTTAACAGTGGAAACAAATCCTGCTCTCCTAAACGAAACTAATACTTATGGAATTCGACAAATTCTTTATAATAGGCCGGAAATCGATCGATTTCTGACAGCGATGCATTATGTAGTCCAACCAGAATTATATTTGCAACACTATTTGATTGAATTTAAAAAAAATTTATCTCTGGGTATAGTTACGGCTGTCGATACACTTCTAAACAAAGTATATCCAAGTTCACGAGAGAACAAGCATGAACCAAAACCAGGAAATATCTTTAACGAGATCGCGCCTTACAAAACTAAAATAAAGGAGTTAGAAAACAAGAAAATTGAAGAGATTAAATCACGGGTAGATAAGATAATTGAAAATGTTAATATGTTACTTAAGAAGCGTAAGGATAGATTAAAATTGCGAGATTACAGTCCGTGGTTGTGTAATTTCTCTGAGAGAGACGTAGAGATACCTGGCCAGTATACTGGCAACAGGAAACCTATGCCTCAATATCATGCAAAAATTTTAAAATTTGAACCTATTGTAAAAGTAATGCAGTCAATTCGCAAACCTATTCGAATTACTATGATTGGTAATGATGCAAAGGACTATCATTTCCTAGCGAAATTTGGAGAAGATCTACGACAAGATCAAAGATTGCAACAACTGTTTACTCTTATGAACAAGACGTTGCAAATTGACGTAGCTTGTAGACAAAGACAATTGTCTATTGATACTTATCAGGTAAGTGCATACTCTTCTACATAATTTAACAAGATATTAGAAAGATGATTCATTTTTTAAATGCAGGTGATTCCCCTGTCCAAAACAGTGGGTCTTATACAATGGGTAAATAATACAAGATCATTGCAAGAGTTGGTAAATTTCACTCTGTCGAAGCAAGAAATAAGGCAATATGATTCTATATGTGAACTCTATCATGAGTGGATCAAAAATGCCTCTTCTTCTAAAAAGATGCATGAAAAATACAAGGAAGCAACAATGAAGTACAACGCTTCAAAAGTGATCGATAAAATGAATGAATTTATTGGCAAAACAGGATGGAACAGTTTACGCAAGACATTGACCGTATTATGCCCATCCATAGAAAGTTTCATTACGATCCGCCGAAATTTTATTACTTCCTATGCTACAATGTGTATTGCACATTGGATCTTAGGCATTGGTGATCGACATTTGCAAAATATCCTTATTGTTATCGATTCAGGGCGCTGTTTAGGTATCGACTTTGGATTAGCTTTTGATGCTGGCGTTGATCAAAGAATACCAGAGTTAATGCCTTTTCGCTTAACACCTCAAATTTTGGGCTTACTGAAACCTTTCAGTGAAAAGGACCTTTTAGGAGCGATAATGATTCATGCGTTACGGGCAATTAGAAAGGAACAAGGTCCCATTCTGTCTTGCATGGATGTGTTTGTTCATGAACCTCTGAATTGGACTGAACACATTAACAAGATATTAAGAGAAAACGAAGAAGATGTTGCAGGTAATTTTTAATTATATGTAAGATGAATTTTAATTCCTAAATGAATATATGAGAATAGTGTGATTATTTTCGTTTTATCCAAATTGTAGATATAAAGTGGATTCCAATAAGAAAAATTAAAGCTGTCACGAAAAAACTGAATGGAATTAAACCATCTTTGATTACATTAGATCAACTAAAAGAGCAACATTATGATAAGTATTTCGATAGATATTATAGTATTGTTAGCGGGGATGATGACATCAAACGACCACGAGCAAAAATGAAGAATGATTTTCTAACTCCCGAGGAACAGGTAATATTTTGGAAATAGGTAATATTTTCGTAATTATTTGACAATAAAATTCTCTAAATTTTTAGATTGAATGTTTGCTGGATCAAGCAACTGATTTAAATATTCTAGGTCGTACGTTTGTAGGATGGAAACCATGGCTTTGAAAAGTTTATATTTATATTTTTATATAATATAATTATAATATAATCTCTACTATAATGAAATTTTGTATACTATCATATGCACAAGTCATATTAGAAATACTATTGTAATACTAGTATACTATTGTTACACATTCCTGTTTTTCTCTTTTTACGCTTTTTGTTTTATAATTTATTATATAAGTAAATCCTTATTTTTCTAAATTAATAATGAATTTTAATTTTTAGTCAATTGATCATTTACTAAACAACTACAATACTTAATACAGTATTATATAGTATATTGTTTTCATACAATTTTAATATTTGTCAAAAATAATCATGTATTGTTAATTTTTGTTTTTAAATAAATCGTACTAATTGTAAATTGTAAATTGTAAATATTTAAAATTTTATTAAATTATTAAAATTGCTGATGAAACCAAACATAAAAATGTAGAATTTTACAGTTTATTTTTAATTTTTCTTCATTTAACAACTATTCTAATATTAACAATAAATTACATTCACATTAAATTATCTTAGCTCTGATTAGTTGAATCATCATGCGAATCGTCATCAGTTAGTGCGTAATTAGGAATAAATGGTTTTTCATTATATAAAATCGAGAGTTTCGAAATTTTTTTCTTGTTCAAACCACTCTTTTAGTGAATTTTTATAGAAATTAACTTTGTATTTCACAAAACGTTTACAATATTTACGGTATAATATATTACAATAGATCATCTGGGAATTATTTAACATTGATGCAACTGATCTTGCAATTGTGCATATCGCGCTTGCAATACGCGTTCTCGTTCTGTTTGCCTGTTAACGTCTTCCATAAGTGCATTTACCCGTCTTGGCACGGCTGCTTCTTCTTGTGTTTGCAAAAATTTAAAGGTTGAAAGTTCTAAATGTGCTTGCTCTATTTGTTCCCATAGATCATATAATTGTTTTGTTAACACTTGTGTTCTAGTCTGTAATAGAGAAAATTAATATATAAATATTATTTATATGTACTTTAATAGGTATCTCATATATTGAAAATAAAAATATGAACCTGATATCCTCCAGTAAGGACCTTCAATTTTTTTTCCATTCTTGCAGCTCGTTTCGCTTCACCAGTCATATGCATGCGATTCTCTTCCAACTTTCTTTCGCATGCTTCTACTCTATCCTTTTTTGAAGCTAATGTCGCTCGTGTGTATCGTTTTTGTGTTTCCAGATATAATATCTAATAAAATATAATAACTAATGAATATAATTATCAAATTAAAAATATTTTAAGTATGAAAATTCTCCCAGTACCTCTGATAAACATTCCTCCCATACAGTTGTATAGGAATCCGAACTTAATTCTCCATGCGCCATACCTTCTTTTACTACAGCCATTTCATCAGTTAAAAGCTTCTTCGCCTACATGAAATATTTATTAAAATTAATTATAAATTTATGATAGAAAAAAATATATAATACTTACAGCAGCAAGCTCTTCTTTTTCAAAATTAACATACGGATGTTGCTCTAAGTAAGCTTGAGCTTGAGCTACTGAATTTGAGGAACCTTTCCGATTTTGTTGTACTGGATTTTGTAATGCATCATACTGTAGCATAGTGATCATTTCTCTCTTGATTAGTTCTTCCGCCTAGAATGACATATTCACTAGTTGTATACATTATATATATATAACATTACATTAAAACACACACACACACGCGCGCGCGCACGCACGCACACACAATATAATTATAATTATGATGATAATAATAATCATACCCTTTGCAAATCTGTTAATGGAGTATCCATAAATGGCCTCAAAATATTCATATTTACATCAGCTGGTCGTGGTAAATCTCGTTGTATAACTTGCGATCTTCTAGACAATTCCTTTTTCCCTGTGAAATATAATATTAATAAATATAGTATTAATACATAAATTAATTTGTAATAAAAAATACACATTTATTTCAGTGCTAATACATTATATACTTTGTTCTATTAATTCTTGCTGTTGTCTAGCATCTATATCAGCTTGGTCTTCTACAATTTCCATCGTTATTGAAGTAACATCTTCGTCTTTTGTTTCTCCTTCAGGAACTACTATTTCATAATCATTACGTGGTGTTGGAAGTGCGTTTAATCCGGCACGCAATTGTTCCTTTACTTGTTTCTGAATTAATGGAGTTTCTGATCCATCTATATTTTCGTCCGGATTAATACTAAGCTTGTCACGAACTGGGGTAGCTGCTAATACTCCATTTTGCGTTCGCGTAGATGCTGGTGTATTAAATGAATTAGCTGGCGTTCCATCACTCCGCTGCGATCGGAATGGAGTAGCCAAAATTGTATTTGGAGTTGCCACGGCATTCGTGGAAGGTACAACACTAGTGAAATCAGAATTATTTAATGGTGTATTTAATCCACCTGTATGGAAAATAAAGCGACAAAATTAATATCAAATACGGTTTTTTAATACGTTTCTTTTTCACACAGTTATACCAACCTTTTAATGGAGTATCAACATGAGTAAGAGCCATAACATTTTGAGCTTCTTGAAGTATTCTATCCGCAGCAGCCGGAGTACGCGGAGTTACAGCTGCATTAGTTGGTAAAGAATAATCAGCCAATAAACTATCTGACAATGTGATACCACTTTCTGTTGCAACTTCGCGAGCAACCTATTGTGGATATACAATATAAAATATAAGTTCTTGTACATAATGAAATATAATAGAAATACAAGAGAAATTAATAGATACCTCTGATGCTCTACCAAGCTTAACTACTTGTTGTAGTTCTTGATCAGATATTTGTGGTTCTGGTAAAACAAGCTTACTTCTCTTTTTTATTGGTTCTTCATTATTTAACATTCCCATTGGAATGTCGTTTTCTTTTCGTTGTTTCAATTTTTGTTTGTCTTTTCTACGTTCCATTTCCTCTTTTTCTTGTCTCAATTCTCCATCTAAATGTTGCTGCCTCATCTTTGAGAAGTCAATAGCAAGAGGATCGACATGTTCATTAGATGTATCATAGAAGCCAGGTGCTGGTCGTTTTTCAAACGGAATTTCAGAATTGTAATTAACCCCACGTTTGCGCTTATTTTTTTGTGATACTGTAATGCCAGCAGCTCTCAATTCTCGACGCTTTTGCAAAGCAGCGAGTCTGCGAGCTTCCTCTAATTGTTTTTCTCTGGCCTTACGTTTCGCCTTTTTACCCTGTGTATTCGCAAGCCTAGCACGTGCCTCAGACAACATTTCCAATTCTGAAAATTACTAATTTTATTGTTGTTACATACAATAGAAAAGAACAGTATTCAAAAAGGAAAAGCTTACCATCTTCATCCATATCTTTAGGATCAGGTCTAGCTGGTTTTGTTTCAGGATTTGGATCAATTTCTCCTGGTTTCAGCTTACGAGGATCATCTGCAGTATCATCTCCTTCTTCCTTTTTTTGAGCCTGATCCCTAATAAAAGAATAAAGAACATACAAAATTCATTTTCTGAAATATGTTTTGTGTAAATTTATAAAATACATTTAACTTACAGCAAATATTCGTAACGTTCTAAGCATTGTGCAGCTGTACGTCCTATAATCGGAGCAATTGTTCTCCATTGAGTAGGCATTAATTTTGCAAGATGAAGAAGCTTTTCATCCTCTTCTCTACTCCACTCTGTTTTTTTAATACTCGGATCTAACCATTCGAACCAACGTGCTTTACACTGCTTAGCAGACTTTCTATGTAAAAGAGATGCTATCCGGCTCCATTGATTTTTGCCATATTTCATTACAGCAGCTTTCAAGATTTCATCCTGAGAAAAGAAAATATTTACAGAAGAAGCCATCTCCTGATAATCAGAATGTAAATTGAGGTTAGAAATCAATTTTTACCTCAGTGTTCCGCCAAACACCACCTTTTATCATAATACGCGGCATATTTATATATTTTTTACTATCATTCAAAAAAACAATAAAAATTGAAAAATTTTCACTGATTTTATATATATGTATATATATTTATTTGATGCTCAATAACATCCTCATCAGGACTGTAACCTAGCGACGCGGTACTGGCAACCCGCGACAGTAGCATTCAACGCAACGTCACAGAACAAAACTAGAATAGAGTGGTATAGTTACGAGACATAGGGAAAACATGGCGGCATAGAAACGTCATCACGTCGTAATCAACAGTAGAGGGCAGAATAGAATTTTTTTGACAATAAAATTATACACACATCTGTATCTAAGCAAAACGAATATATTTTTTTTATTTTATTTTTTTTTATAAATACATCTATAGAAAAAGTAAAAAATCTATCAATTATAAATAAAACATGATAGAATAAAGAAATTACGAAGTTTAATAGTATAGTATGGCATTATGAATATTACTGTATATGATAAATTATTATATATTGTTATAGTAAGTAAATATATACTTAATATATTCAAGATATATGAATTTTTTATTTCTCACTACAGTAAATAAAAAAAGTAATATTTTTTTAAACAAGTCACAGCTATACAATCTTAATTATAAATATTCTGTAACATTAATGTATCTACTTACATATACATATGTGTATATGTATAGATATGTCTAAATTTATTCCAATGTAAGCTGTTTTTCATGTATAATACTTTGCATATGTTATTTTTTATAATTATATTAAGAACATATATACATATTATAATTAAAAAGTAATGATTAATTTTTATTTAAATTAAAATTTTTCTACTTTGTTAGATTTCCTTTGATATTTCATATTTCAAAACAAAATATTTTCCATCATATAAAGTTTTATCAATATAAAGTAATGGAATATTGATATTCACAACTAATGTATTAAATTCAAAAATTTAAATAATTTGTGTTTTATATATTAATGAGAATACATAGCTTATAAAATTTTGTTATTAAATATGTATCATTGCTTCAATTGCTTGTATTGAATTATTACTTTTTTTTCATAAGTAAATTGTTTTAAAAGTATTACATACAAATTATTTCTTAAAACTTATGTTAAATATTCATTTATATATTACATCCTTTTAAATTTTTGCTCTATTCATATGAATCAATAATTATACAGAAATAAATATAAGTGAATATATATACATATACATTCATACAGTTGCTAAGGCAGTGAATTGATTATCATTTATATTATATTGAAGCTGCAAATAAGTAAATAATAAAAGTTTTAGGTACTACATGTATGTAGTAACACTACACATGTATGTAGAGTTTATAAATAATTATTAATTACTATACAATATTTATCTGCATTTTTCAATAATAAATTATTTTCTAATTAAAAAATAAGATCAAATTGGATTAAATTAAATTAAAGAATGATTTAAATATTTACAATATAATAATAACATAATATAATAATAAATTATATTGATTGTTATTATTATATTAATTGGTAATTCTTTTTGTCATTATAAATTTCTTAAATATTTATACGATTTTAATACAATAAGTACAATATACCATTTACATCATCTTAATGATATGTGAAAAACAACATTTAATGTAGTTTTTTTGTAAATTGCTTTTGAATTTTAAGGCTTCCAACTGAGAAAGCTATCCTGTATATATATTTGTTTAAATATACTATGTGCACTAGATTGCGGAGCTTTACGATTACGTTGAGCTTCTAAAATGTATGAAACCTTTTCTCTTGCTTCACTACGAGAAATATCACCTCTGAGACCCAATAATCTGACTAAATGATCTTCAGTCATGTCTGGATATTTTTCAACCAAAGAATGTAAATCAAGAGAAAGAATTTCCGAATCTTCGCAACGTAATACTTCCGCAAGACGTTTAATTATTTCAAAGGGCGAATTAAAATTTCCTACTTTTGGAGCTATTCTGTCGAAGAAAATTTTTAATTTATCAGCTTCTGTCATTATTTTTGATGTACATGTTAAACATTCATCATATGTTTTCAAAGATATTTTCCTTTGTAACATTGCAGAAATATAACGCTTTGCAATAAGATTTTGTGCTTCTGTAATGACATAATCAAAATTTTTTGGGCATAAATGATTGTAATCTTGAAAATAATCTTCTAAAGTTACACAAATGGTTTCTACTGGGATAGGAGATAGTAACCATTTGGGAGTAATCAAATCTTGAAATTGCAATTCTAAATCAAGAAAAGATTCTTCTAGCAATATGGCTGCTGCTTCATTTCGTAATTGTTGATAATTAAATAACAAATTTTCGAATTTAACAGTAGCATCTCCACTAGCATTAGCAACCCAATACAGCTGTTTCATTTGTTGTGCTAGTTCTGTAAACTGCAAACAATTATTAACAATTGTAATCATGTGGTGTGTAAAGTATGGTACTTGACTTCTATCCTCAAAATGTTTGTTTTTGAATTCCAATATTGCTTGTTTGTACATAAATCCATATTTAATTACTTGTTCAATACATAAAACTATAGCCTGTGCTGTTAATTCAGTACTAATTGTTTTTGTAACTTGAAGATTCTGATCTATCATCTGAAATATAATCACAGGTGCTGCTGTGTGATAGTATGTTTCTTGAGTGCTTCCTTCTGGCAATATTCCACTCCACCAGTCTACTTTTTCAGTTTCCAAAGTCTTTTTCATCCAATCTTCATAATTTTGACACATATTCTTCAAATACTTCTCTTGTAGATCACTTATAATTTCAGGACTCAACAAAGGACCTATGTTACTTGTATCAATATTTAATTCTGGATGTTGCATTAATTCTGGGCCGGTATAAGTATTCATGATCCATGATAATAAAGATACATATTCATTTCCTTCCAGTCCATTGGCAATTATATCCTTCAAATGTTGTGACAGACTTGTATGATACATTTTAACAAAAGTTCTTACAATATTGTACCAAGGTGGGAAACAAGGTTCACAAAGAGTTTTAGCAACTCTCAAATCTTCTAAAATCAAGAGTCTTGTAAGCTCTAAATACCTAACTAGCCACATTTTGTTATCTGCTCTTTCCTCAACATGAGTCCCTTCAATCCTATTAGCTACAGATTTTTCTAAAACCTTCATTGACATGTCTTTCCATTTTTTAGGCCTTCCTGGTGGCATAAATCCACTTTGTTTATGTCTTTGAATAGCAAAATGATCTGCTTTTTCTTCTCTTTCTATGATTCTCAATGCTGTTACAATAACAGTAGGTTCCTTTCTTACTGTGTTTAATGTACGACTTAATACTAATCTAATTTGCTTCTCCATTAACTGGGAAAGCATTTCAACATCCTCTAAATAAGCTTTCAACATAACAGTATCAGCTGGTGATTGATTTGGAAGTTTGTGAAGTTCATAAAGTAAATCATCTCTTGAATTTTCAAGATCCATAATAATTTGATGGGCATACAAAAGATTCCCTTGGTTTATCCATTGTTTAGTCATTTCAACGCTTTCTGGCAAAGTAAACGTGTGTTTCAAATTTTCTTTGGCAGTAACATATTGAGAATGACGCATGTTTTCTTCTTGAACAGCTTGCAATTTTGCGCTAAGTTCTGGAACTTTACTGAACAACTTGCCAATATCATTTAGATCCTGTTTTATAGAAGCACTACTTTCTAAAGAACTCTGAAGCTGTTCAAAGCCTACACGAACTCCATCTAATTGACTTTGCATTGCAGTTTTGAGCATAGTTTCCACGGAAGCTTTTTTCCGGGCTATTCTACGTTTGTACATATCAATTTTTTCCAATTGACCTGGTCGTTGCAATAGATTACACCCATATTTTGTTGCCTTTGCCTTAGCCTCTTCTTCCAATTTTTGTAAGTCTTCCATTTTCAGAGCCATTCTGTTTTTTATTTTACAAACTAATATTTTTACTTTATTCTTTTCGATAATTATAAAAAACAGGGAATAACAGTTTTTTTTTTAAATAGATTCATTCACAAGAAAAGCATGCAGATTATTTTGACATTTACAAAACCTTGGTTAAGCATGTACTTAAGATGCGTTTACATTGAACAGTTTTGTCAATTTTCGACATATAAACACGCCTATTTGAAATGAGCTTATGTTCTGCCGTGTAAATACACATTGCCATATTATGTTATATATATATTTGTTCCATAAAAAGTAAACTTGAATATTTGATTATACGAAAAAGCGGGTTGAAAAAAATTTGTTCTATTGTCAAAATAATAACTCATAGTACTTATAGAATTTTATAGTATAATTCAAAATTACAAATGCATTTTTTAAAAAGACTGTCAAGAATAATCAACTTACAATATAAACATTATCCGAGGAGATGTTTAACCTCCAAATCGTCTGCGAATGTAAAAATTGAAGCAGAACAAGACAGTAAAGAAATTAATTGTTACTCATAATATTATGTAACATTTTATTTTTTATGAGTTATGAAATAAATGCATTTATGTATATTCTTAACATGTAATTGTTAGTTTCAGAAAAAAATGTTTTAGTGGAACATTTTGAGGCAATTACTTTAATTGGTATAAATCGACCTGAAAGCAAGAATGCTTTAAATGTTGCAACTGCACAAAAATTGTCAGATAAATTAGATGAATTTGAAAATGATGAAAATTCTGTAGTTGGAATCCTTTATGGTACAGGAGGAAATTTCTGTAGTGGTTATGATCTTAAAGAAATTGCACAATATAATGGAAAAAATGAAGAAGTTCTACCTCAGTTTGGATCATTGGTAAATTAAACAAATTTAAGACTTATGTTGTATTCAAAATTATATAATATTATGGTATTAATCTTTCTGGAATGTTCATAGGCTAATAAAATTGAGTTATGTAAAAAACCCTTGATTGCTGCTATAAATGGATATGCTTTAGGAATTGGCTTTGAACTAGCCTTAATGTGTGATCTCAGAGTAATGGAGAAAGGTGCAGTACTAGGATTTGCAAACAGAAGGTTTGGAATACCTATATTATGTGGCGGTACTGTTCGATTACCTGCTTTAATTGGTTATTCAAAAGCAATAGATCTGATATTAACTGGTCGTTACATTGATTCAAAAGAAGCACATTCATGTGGTTTAATTAATCGTCTTACAGACACTGGCAGTGGTACAGTTTATTTTATAAATAATGAAATATATAGATACATCAAAAAATATGGTGAAATTATATTAGCATATTTTGTTTTATTTACAGTATTAGGTATAGCAGTCAATTTTGCAAACTCACTTGTAAAATTTCCACGAAAAACATTACTTGCAGATCGTGCTTCTACATATTTTGCTACATTTTCTGCTAAACAGTTAGAAGAAGCTATACAATTTGAAAAAGACAATGCATCTCATTTAGTATTTGAAGAAGGAGTTTCAGGTGCAAAAAGGTTTGTTACAGAAGGATTAGGAAAGCATGGGAAATTTTACAATATTACAGAAAGAAAAACTAAGTTCAAAGAACTTGATAAAGAATTTTTGTAAAAGATTTTATAAAAATATATATAGGGAGCAGAAATTTCATATAGTTGTATTTAAAAAAGATATATATATAAATTTTGTAACGTAATTAAATTTCTTTGTTATAAATACAGTTATACTATTCTGTGTGTATTATTGCCTTTTTTAAATGAAGATTTAGCAGATGAATTCTTCTTAAGAAAGGCATGAGATCTTAGTAATGTATCAGTGCATTTCTTTGCTGTTTTTCCAATAAGGAGTGGTATTATGTTAATCATTTGGCCATATATATCTACTACACAAATTATATTCATTGAAAATATAATATTTCATATGAGATTTAAAACTTACGTTCAAATGTAACTATTATATATGTCAAATCCACTTGAAAAACCTCAAAACCAGATGTGTCTGGTTGAAAAAAGGAAACTTTCCTTAATTGACAGTTAATTTCATCACATAAGTCAAATTCAGCTAAAAATATAATACATTTATTAAGAAAGTTAATAAAAAAAATATTTGGATAATTTACTTGTATCATCCAATCCTACTACATTTCGAATATAATTCAATATTAACTTAAGTGGACAATTAATATTTACTAAGATTTCTTTATCTATGTTCTCCAATTGTGTATCTTTTTCATTATTATTAACAGGAACTATGAAATGTATGTGATATATTATTTATTCAATGAATATATGAAAATATTCTTACTGGAATATTTGATTCGTATAATTGACGTCATACTTTCAGCTTCTAGTAAACGTTTAACGTGCAAATAATACAAAAGGAAACGAGTAATTTGATATTAATTCATCCTACACATTCTGTTTGCAAAGGATATCGCATAATACAAGGTTAAAATAATCGAAAGTCATTTGATATTTCATTGCTACTTGATATCCAGTTTCTGCATTGAATTTTTAAGTCTTTTTTATGATTCTTAGAAAGTAAAATGCGATCGATTTATATATTTATAATATCCAATAGTACAGTATCTAAAAATTTATGTAGAAGAAATTTATATAGAAGTTATTTATAATTTATATAAAATATTCAGTATATATTTTATATTTAGTATATATTTTATATTTAGTTTGGTTTCACAGAGATAATATAATCTTCTTATTTATTTAAAAAATGCTTTCTATAATCTTAAATCATAGAGTCAGTAAAGTAACTGACATAAAGATCATTGAATATTGTATATTATTGAGCTAGCAACATGTCTATTGGATGCGCTCTGGATTATAGTCAGATTTTCTCTGGGAGGAGCTGACACGTTCATTCGGTTGGAATTTCAAATAATCGTGGAATTTCATATTCAAGTTGAATAACGACCGTCCGTAGGTTTAATTAGCGAAAGTAATGCGAGCCGGCTAACCACCATCGAGCCGGTTAAAGTATGATGAAACGAATGCAGGTGGCGGTGCATTGTTGCGCAATCGTTCATATCCCTACTTTTCCTTCTTGTAACCAGGAGTCAGGACAAGAGTCCCCTTGGTAACCAGAAGGCTCTCCCCACCAAGTGCCTTCCTCCTTGTTCGACCTGGTGAATGTTGCGCACCCATTAAATTTACGCGATCATCCTTTGTTTTTGTTCTTTTTTTTT